TGGGAAGAGACTGATGGAAACTAAGGCATGGGAGGTTCTAGAGAAAGCCCCAAGCTCAGAAGTGAGCCTACAGGGGTGTCAGGGCTTTCCTTGGAGGGGTCACACCAAACTAAATGACTGTCCTTGTCCTTCTCACACTTACTCAGGTGAAAACTCTTGCTACAGAAACTGTGAAAAGCAGGAGTATTTCTTGAGAAAATATTTTTCATGGCCCGGTGTGATGGCTCATGCCTGTAATCCCAGCACTCTGGGAGGCCGAGGCAAGTGGATCACCTGAGGTTGGGAGTTCGAGACTTGCCTGGCCAACGTGAAGAAGCACTGTCTCTACTAAAAATACAAAATGAGCCAGGCATGGTGGCACATGCCTATAATCCCAGCTACTCAGGAGGCTGAGGCAGGACAATCACCTGAGCCTAGGAGGTGGAGGTTGCAATGAGCGGAGATTGCGCCATTGCACTCCAGCTTGGGCAACAAAGTGAAACTCTGTCCCCCCCACCATCCCCCCAAAAAAAAGAAAGAAAGAAAAGGTATTTTTCATAAAAAATGTTATTTGTTAACATTATCTAATGGGTGTATTATTATCAGATAAATATTTTTTAAATTTCAGTTTTAATTTCTAAAAAATTACTCCTCTGCCTAGCATCTATGTGGCCTGAGGCGACTGTCAGTCTCACTAGCTCTAGAACAACAGGGAGTGGTGACAGTGGAATGTAAAGGGAGAGATTATAACAGGAAAAAGGTTGTTACTAAAGTAGAAGGTGTCAAGGCCAGCTAACAAGTTGGAGAGAGGACTGTTCTTTTTTTCAGCAACAGATATTATGTAAGAGTTGCTGTAGAGACTTTCAAACAAAACTAAGCTGAAGCAGGTGTAAAACACATGACAAAACTTAAACCACCTTTAATGTGCTTAAAACAAATCACTTTACAAAAATCATGAACACTTTAAAAAATGTGACGTTGGACACAGTACACAAGCTTAAAAGAACACCAACCTATGGTCTGATCTTACAAAACTGACTTTAAGAATCTTGGAGCAATTTACTAAGATTCTAAATAATCACAAAACGTGCTTAGTTATGTTTCCACAGATTTGAATGTTACACTGAGAACAGATGCTGAAAAGTGAGTTTCCTTGTCAATCTCCACAGAATTTTCCAACTTCCAGTGGCCCATGAGCCCACTTGCTGCCTCATCCCTTAAGACTTCCTATTGAAATAAATCTGAAGTACGGGGAAGAACTTTTATTTCCAGGACAGATGTGCAAAAGCAACAAGTCAAAATTAACCATTCTATCCGAAAGAGAAGAAACATGTACCAACACATTCATTCAAAGGGAAGTTTCTAGAATTAGGCAAAAGTTACATGGCAGCAGTTATGACCTTTAACAGAATTTTGTGACATTGAAAGATACATCCTGCCATATCTCTTGCAGGGAAAATGTCTTTCAAGAAGGCTAACATCCAATCTCTTCTATAATTTAAAAAATGGCCTAATCTTAAACTCACCAAATCATTTTAAGGATGAGAAAACAGGGTCACTCACACAAGTTAGGTGACATCAATTCTGGCAAAGCAAGAATCCGCATGTTTATTTTCTAACTCCCAGGCTGAAATATTTTCCACTCTATCAGTCTGTCCTCTACTCCAGGACTTCATCTGTCTTACGGAAAAACCCAAACCATCAAATGTCCCCTTGTTCTACCCAAGAATTGTTCTGCAACATATGCCGCCTGCTTCCTTGCTTCCTATGAGGCTAAATAGCCAGGCAGGATTTGATTTTAAGGAACTGCCATCTACTTGAAGTAGGGTTTTAAGTCATTGAGAGGCCAGGTTCTTGAATGCTTTCTCTGTTGGGATTATTTTCACACCATCTGGCTCTCTGCCCTGGACAGGTCCCTGCTCTGTATGTCTTTCAAGGCTGTGAAGCCCCAAGTAGGGTAACTGTCCCATTAAAAGGTGAGTTCACTGGGTAATGGGAGCAACTGCTCATTGTGAAGGTGACATGATGTAAAAGCCTTGAAAGGGGCTGGATGCCGTGGCTTGCACCTGTAATCCCAGCACTTTGGGAGGTCGAAGTGGGCAGATCACCTGAGGTCAGGAGTTAGAGATCATCCTGGCCAATATGGTGAAACCCTGTCTCTACTAAAAATACAAAAAAAAATTAGCTGGGCATAGTGACGGGCACCTGTAATCACAACTACTTGGGAGGCTGAGGCAGAAGGATTCCTTGAATCCAGGAGGTGGAGGTTGCAGTGAGCAGAGACCACACCATTGCACTCCAGCCTGGGAACAAGAGCGAAACTCTGTCTCAAAAAAAAAAAAAAAAAAAAAAAAAGGAAGAGAGAGGCTTGAAAGCAGCATGGGAATATCAAACCTATTTAAATTGTTCAGGTTAAAATATTCAAGTTAAGAGTAATACTGAGAGAGAGGAGAGGGAAAACGTGTGCAATAATGGTTTAATTTACCTGCATGAGTCAATCATATTTGCTAAGTGGGTGGAACTAGGAGTGAAGCAGTGAGCTGAAGACTGAGGGGAAAAAAACAACAATAAAAAAGTTAAGGGTCAACTCAAAGGTCAAATGAACAGAAGTGTCCCAATTTGTATTCCTGAAAAACAGTTTACACAGTGATCTGCCAAGTGTCATGCTTAACATGCCATGTTGCTTCTGGTATTCTTATGAGGAAGCAGTGAAGGGCCCAACATTTCAGTATTTTTCAGTGGTAATTTCAAGCTCTGTAGCTCCAGCTCTAGAAAAAATACAAAAAGACAAATGGGGCATCACACTCAGGCGCCGCAGGCCACGCGGCAAGTCTTACACGGCTGGGAGTCAAGAAACCCAAACCACTTTAAAAACACACATTTTACATAGTAGTGGTTCTGGTATCTTTGAATTACTGACAGGTTTTTCAGGTTTAAACTTAACATTATTCGTCCTTATAGCCAGGATCTTCCCACTAAAAATAGAAATAAATGAAATATACACATTGATGCTCCTTTGTATAAGGAATAGCCCTAAAGAAAGAAGATATAGGTACATTAGCAAGAGAGGTCTAAGGAGAAGAAATCTCAGTAGTTTTAATGAAAGATCAAAAAACCAAAAGAAAAAAAAGGCATATAGCATACACCTCCATAAAGCACCTACATTTCATCTTCAGCTAAATAAATTTAGTTAAAAGTGTGACAGGGAAGAAATAAGCAAGTCAAATCCAAGCATGGCATAGTAAACCCTGATTGTCTGCTATAAAGACAGGGAGGGACAGACTGGCACAAATGATCCTAACTACTGACATTTAAAGAACCTTTTGGATTTCTGCTTTTTGCTTTGGGGAGGGCGACAGATTTGCTGGAATAAACCACCTGCTGAAGAGGAGGGAGGTTCAGAATACACCAAATGATAGAAAAGAAAGAATGCAGGGCTAAAAAAAAAAGCCCACTGCAGATCATCGCCAGTTAACTGGTTTCCCAGACAGAATTTAACTCATTCTAATTTGGCTTCCAGGAAGAATTCTGACACTCATAAATAAATGTCATTTGTCATAAGACTGGGACCTCAATGATCCAGCTCTGGAGAAATGACACTCTATCAAGCCAATTCTCTGCTGCCCATGGATTCAAAAGGACCTCCTGGCTCTGCCTGGGTCCACACTGCTCCTGGACCCTTGGCCCTAGGTGCTCTAGTTCAACAATTAGTCACAAGGAAGAAAGGGCAAAGGAAAGTGGTGACCGTGCAAAACCTCTGAAGGCACAACTGTGTGAAGCAACAGCATCAACCCTGGTCAAGTAGATGCAATCCTCACTTGGCATTCCAGCTGTTCCTCAATGAGCCCAAAGTCAAGCAGCAAAGAAATTCACACACGTGCGCGCGCATGCACGCACACACATTCACACACAGAGAGAGAGAGAGAGAGAGAGAGAGAATGAATGAGAATGTGAATGATGATAAAATACCAAAACTAGGTGAGTTTTTCAAATACCAACATTAGTGGGGAAAGAGGCCAAGGGACCAGACATCAACAGAAATAGGGAGCTAGCCCAGGACGTCAGTAGCAGAGATGGCATGAAGGAAAACAAAGATTACAGAAGAAAAAGAACCAACCTGGCAGCTTGCAAAGGAAGCAGCAGTGGGGGATGGCCCTAAAGCTAAAAGCAACATAGCTATATACACCACAGAATCCATAAGACCAATCCATACAGGATGGTTGCTGGGTTTGAGGTGTGGGAAATGAACTTAAAAATACCAGTTCCAGGCTGGGCCAAGTGGCTCAGGCCTGTAATTCCAGCACTTTGGGAGGCTGAGACAGGTGGATGACAAAGTCAGGAGTTCGAGATCAGCCTGACCAACATGGTGAAACCCTGTCTCTACTAACAGTACAAAAATTAGCCAGGTGTTATGGCATATTATGTAATCCCAGCTACTGAGGAGGCTGAGGCAGGAGAACCGCTTGAACCCAGGAGGCAGAGGTTGCCGTGAGCCAAGATCGTGCTATTGCACTCCAGCCTGGGTGACAGAGCAAAATTGTCTAAAAAAAAAAAAAAAAAAAAAAATCATTTGATAGTAGTGGCATGTGCCTGTGGTCCCAGCTACTTGGAGGCTGCAGTGAGAGGATCACTTGAGCCTGGGAGGCAGGGGCTTGTAGAGAGCAGAGATTGAGCCACTGCACTCCAGCCTGGATAACAAGAGCGAAACTCCGTCTCAAAAAAAAAAAAAAAACCAACAACAAACCCCAAAACAAACAAAAAACCCCATAAACCAAAAAAACCCCAAAGATCCACAAACTAGTTCCATAGGCAAGCACGATTTTCATAAAATCATTAATAGTTTTCTAAAGCAGAATAGTAAATACCTAAACAACTAAAATTGAGGGTTATGAAAGACACGACAAAAAAAACCTCATACAGGAAAGCATTTTAGAAGATCCTAGGTTTTCTCACTCTCAGTTATTCTACCCTAAGTTAAAAGCTGTGTATGAAAAACAAAGTCAATATTTCATGACAGTTACCTCTGATTCTACTGTGTCTTGTCCTTCTTTTGAACTTTTTCCACTCTTCCCTGCTTTTTGTGATTCCTGGGAAACATGAAGCAAAGTCAATTAGTCTTCTCACTTTTTAGACAGGTAAACATCAGACAAACCAAATGGAGTTTTAAAAACGATTGACACAATTCTACCAGAGCTTTTCATAGTTTTAACCCACACCATTAGGAAATTCTTGATCATATTGTTTAGGAATCCAATAGAGCAATCCTCCTTTTCAGATTCCTTTCGTTTTATCTGCATTTGAGGTTGAAAACTTTAAGCAGAAAACAGATACATCTAATTTTATACAGCGCTTTCGGCATTTTGAAGATCCACATCACATTCTTTTCTTCCCTCCCACCCTAAACCCTATGAGTATTTCTGGGGTGATACCCAAACGCTACAGAGCTTCACCTGAAGCAGAAACATTCCCGCACCACCCCCCCACCCCCAAGCAAACGCAGCTCACAGCCCTCACTGCCGCCGCCACCCAGAATAATAATATTGTTTTGAGAGCCCCAGAGCGTCCCTCCCGGGCGGCAGACAAATCCTTACCAGCGTTCAGCGGGGTCCCTTCCCGCTCGGTTTACCCCGTACAGGGGTCCCTCCCCAGGCGTCTACAGCCCACATCCCTGAAGCTCCTTCCCGGGAGACTGCGAGGCTGCGAACCCCCTCGGCGGCCGCACCTGCCCGCTCAGGCCCACCACGTGCTGTCGGGGGCGGGCGCCCCTCCAACCCCCTCCCACGGCCGCGCCTCCCTCCACGCCCGGCACCGGCCCGTCACGAAGGTCCCCGTGGCCCGGGCCTGCGCCCCGCGGCTCCGGCGCAATCCCTGGGCTCCCCGCCCCCACCAGTCGTGAGGGCGAGAGAAGCCCGGGGATGCCCGGCCCGGCCGCCCTCGGGGACGCGGTGCCCGCGGCGTCGGGCGGGGAGGCTGAGCCGGGGCCCGGGCGCAGGACCCCAGCGCTGCCGCGCCCTCCCCCGGAGGTCCCTCCGCCCCCGCCGTCCCGCGGCCGGGCCCGGACTCACTTTCTCCTTCTTGTTTTTATTCGGCATGGCTGGAGCGGGCCGCCGCCGCCGCCGCCCCTGCCTCCGCCTGCCCCCGCAGCAGCAGCGCCCCCGCCCCGGCCGTCGCGCCTCCACGGCCACGGCCGCCGCCGCCGCCGCCGCCGCCGCGGGACTGAATCGTTCGCTCGCTCTCGCTTCCCCTTTTCCAGGCTCCCAGAGGCTGCGGCAGCCGCGGCGGCGGCGGCGGCGGCGGCAGCGGCAGCGGCAGCGACGTCTCTCCGCCCCTCTCCCGGCCGGCCCGCCCCGCCCCGCCCCGCCCCGCCTCGCCCCGCCTCGCCCCGCCTCGCCCCGCCTCGCCTCGCCTCCGGCCGGCCGGCCGCCCCGCCCCGGGCCGCCCGCCCGCCCGCGCCCGGCCCCGCCTCCCCGCCCTCAGAGGCGCCCTGCCATTGGTCAACGAGCCCCCACGTGTCCTAACGCTCCCCGCTTCCCCGACTCTCTCCGCGCTGCCCGTTCACACCCCCGCCCTCCGTCACCAGTCGCCGCGCACCGGCATCGGGCTGCCCGAGTTCTCAGGACCCGGGCTGACGGCTGGGCCGAGCCGAGTGAGGGGAGGAAGCGTGTAGCTGCCACTGCGGTAACAGGGCCGTGGCCAGCTCAGAGCGTGAGACGTAGGAAATGCACATTTGAAATGTATGGCAGCAACTTCTGCCGCCGGCGAGGCGCGAACAGTGGCCTCTTGGTCTTGTCCCCTCACCGCCGCGGCTCTCGCTGCAGACAAGGGTGCCCCGTACGCTGTGCACTGAGGCGCACGGGTAGGCCCGGCAGCCAAGGGAGCGGTTCGCGGGCCTCCTCTGGGCCCCGCCTCCCTGCCGGCCCCTCCCCTCGACCGGTCCCTTCTCGCGATCAGCTCCTCCCCTCGATCAGCCTCTCCCCTCGATCGGCCCCTCCCCTCGATTAGCCCCCTCCCTCGACCGGTCTCTTCTCTCGATCAGCTCCGCCCCTCCATTAGCCCCTCCCCTCGATCAGCCTCTCCTCTCGATCAGGCCCTCCCCTCGATCAGCTTCTCCCCTCGATCAGCCCCTCCCCTCGATCAGCTCCTCCCCTCGATCAGCCCCTTCCCTCGACCGGTCCCTTCTCTCGATCAGCTCCGCCCCTCCATTAGCCCCTCCCCTCGACCAGCCTCTCCCCTCGACCAACTCCGTCTTCCGCAGCTACTCCCTCAAGGTCCTGCCCACCCGACAGCCCCGCCCTCCCTGGTCGGTCCCGCCCTCCGCAGTTTCTCCCACGAGGTCCCCGCTGCCCGACAGCCACGCCCTTCCCTAGTCGGTCCCGCCCTACTGAGCTCCTCCGCGAGGTCCCGCCCACCTGACAGCCCGTCCCCTCTGGTCGGTCCGGCTCCCCGCGGCTTCTCCGCGAGGTCCCGCCCACCCGACTGTCTCGGCCCTCCCCGGTCGGGTCCCCTCCTCTGCAGCTCCTCCCGCGAGGTCACGCCCACTTGTGTAGTGGCTCTCCTTGGCGTCGGCCCCGCCCACCGAGGCCAGGCCTCGAATACTTAGTGGCCGCTGCACCAATAGGATTTTATTTTTATTCTTTAATTTGTGTTGATCATAAGTGGTGTGGAAACCGCCGCATGATGACTGGGAGTCACCTGATTTCTCTCACCTCGTTAATAGCTGTGGGGAGGGGGCATCCAAGGGAAAAACGTTAACTTTTTTTTTTCTTTAAACGTTAACTTTTTAATACACTACTTTCGCAGTCCACCTCATGCCCAAAACGATTAGAGATGCTAATAACAGGCGTCCGAGATTGCAGAAATGCATTAGGTAGTAAGACTGGGAGTGAACGGATTTCACGTGTGAGAGGCATTGGTGCTTCACCTGTGATGATGCAGGAGCTGCATCTTAACTGGCAGCTTACAAATTATTCCTTCTCTTAGCCCCCGGCTGCTTGTTCTTGGAAGTTGCCAGGCAAAGCATTTTCGGTTGTTCTCAGAGCTCTGCAATGGGAAAGCTGAAAGACAGGGGGTAAGAAAAAAAAGATCTAAAGTGAGAAATGTTGTGGGAGGTACAGGAAGTAAGTTCTGTCTGCGGGTGTCTGAATGTCTGTGGGCCTTTAGACGAATATCTGTAGGTAAGCAGGACAGCTTCAAACAGCTATTTGTGCAGAATAAATGGCTTTTTAATTAATCACTTAAGTGGGTTAATGGTTTCTCCAAAACAAATAGTTAAAAAAAACTTTTGGGGGTGGAGCGATGCTCCTAGTTAATAACATTTTAAAAATAAAATAGATGCTTTTTATTTAGTAAGCCCAGGATCTATCCATATCAAAAAGGAGTAACTTTGAAACTATTGGTTTATAGCCATGAACTCTAAGAGAGGCTGAGAGGCTTCTCCGAGACGAGCCTGTGCCACTAAAATCCTTATATCACAGCTCCTGATCTGGTGTTGCATACAATTCATTCATTCAACACATATTTGTTGGATAACTACTATGTGCAAAGCACGATGCCAGAAATTTCAAGGCACTACCCTTGTCCTCAAGCAATTCACATGCTTGGATAGAAACAGAAGAAAACCAGCAATCAGAAGGACATGACATGTGATGAGTCTACAGGACTGGGGTGAGGGGGGTCAGGCTTGGAAGCATGACGGAGCACTGCACAGGACGTTTTGTTATGGCCAGAGGTTACTTCCAGAGATGAGACTGAAGGAACAGCGACGCTGAATTAAGACTGGTATGCCTTGCCAAGATATTGTACTTCTTTATGAATGCATTTCAGGGTCACTGACAGATATTAAAGTGGAGAGTGATGTACTCACATTTGCATGTTAGAAGACATTAGTGGCAGGAGTATGGAGAAGGAGGTGAGGGTGGGAGTAAAAGCAGGAGGCAGAAAGAGCAATCAGATCCAGCTACGGCTCAGGTGCGTGCCGGGGAGGTATCTCCACAGCAACAGGGGGAAGGATCGCTGACACGGCAGAGAGCCAGAATTGAGGATAAAAGGCAAATGCTCGTGGCTGTAGTTTGGGCAGCCCAGTGAACAATGAGGAAGGGGTACAAGTGGAGGGCCTGTTTGCAAGGGAACATGATTGCGGTTTGGGACACGTTGCTGTCCCTGCAAAACGTAGGTAGAGGTGTCCAAGATGGCAACTGGAAATATGGCATAGAGGTCTAGTTGCATGTCAGATTAGGGGTTTCTCAGGTCAGTTTAGAGTTTGAGGGAAAGCATAGGGACAAAGTACCAGCAAAGCTGCATAGTTACCATCCAGTGACCTTGAAACCATAGCAACCAGAGAAATCTGACTCAACACCAGTACCTGTATGTAGGGCACCCACACGTTGGGTGCCAGATGTAGGGCTGTGGAGGCCCCACAGGGTCATGGGGTGTCCTTTATGCTGTGTTGGGGGTGCAGAATCCAAGAGGTAAAGAGAGGATACTGAAGAACTGATGAAGAGCATCAGGACTCGGGGCCCACACCACCTGTGAGCGGAGATCAGCAGCAGCCCCCAAATGCCCAAGAGTATCTGCATTTATTAGGTACAAGCAGGGGGCAGGGTCGTGAGTGATGTCTCATCTATAGGCTTAGTAATAGGGCATACATAATCACGTGAGTTACAAGTGAGGGGACCACCCCATTATGTTACCTGGGCAGAGAGGTGGGCCGCGCACAGCAGGGGGCTATGACGTGCACAGTAGTAGAGGGTCGTGTGCAGAAAAGGGGTCCAACCCCATTAGGTCACCGAGGCAAGGAGGTGGGCTGTGTGCAACAGGTGTCGTGCACAACACTTCTTATCTGGGTGCTGCAGACTTCAAAGGATTTCTAATAGAAGGATACTATAAGCTTAATGCAGTGGGAACTGACAGACTTTGTGTTCTTCTCTTAAGATATTTATGGGAGGATTCTTTGAGCTAGCACAGAAGCGAGAAAAGACTGACAGGGTGTACAGCCACTGTGACTGGTCACGCCAGAAGGGTTCTTCGCCCTTGGTTACTTCCAGGATCTCAGGCCTGAGGCCTACTTTCCACAGGAACTGAATGCAACATACTACAACTCCTTTATCAGGAGGAGAGGCACTTGCTCCAAGCCTGCCATACAGTGTGTGCCCTTTCAGGCAGGGACGCCACTGCCTGGATCTTTGGTTCTCATACTGGTCTGGCTGTTTTCCCATGTACTGCTTCTGTTCTGTGACTGCTCTAGGCATTCCTCCTACTACAAACCACTATATGGTTATATAGAAGGATTATATAAATCAGCACTAAATGTGTCAGTACAGCTCCGACTATAATACCTATATGATTATACAGAAAGGTTATATAGAACTAAGTATACTAGATATATGTAAGCAGTAAGTTATGCCTCAAGCACTAATTCCATAAACTAATATATGATTATATGTGAAGGATTATACAAAGGAAAGAGCTGAGCAATAACACTATAAACTAAGATATTCTTCAGGCACTAGTTGTGACTGGGGTCTGGACAGTTCTCCTTCCTCAGCGCCCATGGAGGGTGTTACCCACACCTGTACACCTGCGTAAGGTCAGAGAACAAGTCTGAGATGCAACAGTGTCTCGCTCTGTCATTCAGGCTGGAGGTCAGTGGCGTGATCACGGCTCACTGCAGCCTCCATCCGCAGTGATGGCTCAAGCAATCCTCCCACCTCAGCTTCCTGAGTGGCTGGGACCACAGGTGCATCCCAACATGACCAGGCTGGTCTTGAACTTCTGGACTGAAGCAATCCTCCCGCCTTGGCCTCCCAAAGTGCTGGGATTATAGGCGTGAACCACCACACCCAGCTAGAATTAGTTTCTTCAAATGCTAGGCGCTGAGAAACACAGGATGCCTGAGACACAATCATTGCCCCTTGGAAGCTCAGCTGAAAATCCAAGTATGCAAGATTGCCTGGATGCCTAGAAGGTCTAGGAACAATGTGATGAAACCTAAGCCCACAGACTGGGGTCTGTGAGTGCCAAGAGAGAAGGCTTTCTGGGCAGGGTGAACACAGCTGCAGCCTGGGCGGCAGGGAGTGCCACACCAGCCTCAGAGGGGCAGGTAGGGCCAGCTGTGCTGCAGGTGCTTCACAGAGAAGACATAGGCCACTGGAGTGGTTTCATTTGCCCACATCAGGGAGGACCATCTCTAATGACAGTTACCGATTGCTCGTAGAGGACACTGGGTTTCATGCAGTGTCCTGGGTGCTGTGGTATTTATAGGAATGCTAAAGATAGATATAGTCCCTGTTCCCAAAAGAAGGCATTCAGGACA